ATATCAAAACTCAAAATATATAATTTCCATACCTAAAACATGTATTTTACAGCCACTGTTATCCACATTATGAATGATCCCGCACAGGGCTCTAAATGGAAGCCTCACACAGAGATTACAGGAAACAAATTTAAGTTATAAAACGTTGTGGGAGCATTATTTAGAAATGTTTTTAAGAGTGTACTGTATCTATAAATTTATCAATATCTGATCTTATGCTTTATTTATGTAAGATAGAAAGAAGGGGATCTCACACATCACATAATTCACTTTATTAAACATTTTTAGTCAGTTATTATGAAATAAACAGTGGTAGCATTTTGATAGCTATATGAAATTTTACTTGTCAGATTCAGTGACCGCCAACTGCAACATTATTGAGTAATTACATTAACTAGTAATAAGAATAGAGATAAGATCTACATTTATCAGAAAATCAGAATATGTTATACAAGCACTAAAACATCTCATAAGGAAACCATTCTTAATAGTAGACCAACACATTAGCAGACAACAACAGCAGCATTAATGTTTCCTTTCTTTTCTATATAAGCATTTAGATGCTCGTGACAATATCTAGCTTGTTTTCTTTAATTTAAGTTTCTAAGAAATTTCTTTTCGCTAAAGAAAATGGTTCAACAAAGCCATGTTGTGTGACTCTGCAGCAACACACAGCGCTGTTTCCTTACTGAATGAATTTGCGTTTCACAAATCAGGTAAACAAAATCTTATTGCAACTTTTTATCTGCACAATTGAGTTTGTCTTGCAGTTATGAGTTTATTTACGTTATTTGTCTCCTTTTTTTGACGAAAATAAAGAGGTTTTTGGTAAAGTTTTTATCTTTTTGAATACATTTTAGTCTCGTCTTATTTCGTCAACGAAATTGCATGTTGATATAGTCTTAGTTATCATTTATTGACCTTATTGTCTTCTCGTCTTCGTCTCGTCTTAGTCAAGGGAAAAAAGCTCGTCAACGAACATTTTTCGTCATAGTCTTCGTTAATGAAATTAACACTAGCCCTGACAAAATCAAGCTTCCACACTCTAAAAATGTTGCTCATATTAAAAATTAAAAAATGCTACCTTTAAAATCGTACATTACCTTAATATTTATCGAAATATTTTAATATTAAAAATAAATGTAAAAAATATAGTACAGGCTTATACAAAAAAATGGTGTAGAAACAGTTTTCACTCAGAAATTGAAAGTAAATTTCACGATTAATTACAAAGAAACGTCAAGTAACATGTTGAATTAAACATGACATTTTGATGTAGAAAAACTGAAATAGTATTTTATTTTAAAATATACTTTGTTTTATTTACAACTTCAAAAAAGTAATTTTTTACAGTGAACATTTACTGTATAATACTGTACATGTTTTTTTAAGTAAAGTGTATGAATGACCATTTCAACAGAATTTACAGTAAAAACCAGATGTCCAGAAGTCCCTCAGAGATGCATCACATTTGATTACATTATTATTCCTTTTTTTAGGCAACTGTCACAATAGAAGAAGAGCACAGACAGTTATCTTCCAAAATGGGTGTTTATTAACAGATGGGCAGAAACACAAGCAGGTTAGTGACTGGGTTCAATGAATAGCAATGTAACTGAGCTGAGGACAGCAGTCCTTGTAAATCCACAGGTGCAGGAGGACAGAACAAAGAAGACTGAAGACTGGATATAAACAGGTGTGTAGCACAGGTAGGTAGTCAGGTGAGTAGTCCGGTAGGAAACAACAAGACCTGACAACTGTGAGTGACTGGCGAGTGCTTATGTAGGAGTCCTTGATGAGCTGGTGCAGCTGATCAGAATTCAGGTGATTGTGACAGAAAATATGATGTTTTCTGTGTTTACTGCATTATTTTAGTGTCTTGCGTGTTTTTTGATGGAGTGCACTGAAATGCCGCTCCGTAATGCACTGTAAAGTTTTTTTTTTTTTAAATTGTTTGTAAAACAAAGATTATTTGAAGTATATTTTACAAGAAAATACTATTTTTCATTTTTCATTCAAAGTATTTACTTGCTTTTCCTTTGTAAATATCTGTGAAATTGATGAGCAATTTCTGAGTGAAAATAGTTTCAAAGTAAATCCATTGTGTCTGAAATGTTATCGCCATATTTTTACAGTGAATTTCTGGCATCCACAGCTGCCAGATTTTGTCAACTGTAACATACTGTAAATACAGTGGATTATTTTTACAGTGCATGATGGTAAAGCCGGGTGCAGAGTATTTTTAACACTTGACACATCAGACAGAGATTCTGCACATCTATCAGACCGCAGGAATATGAAGGTGTTACAGTACGAGAGAATGAGCACGTCTGGAATCTGAAACAGTGAGTTTTTGTGCTGACTGTGTTTCTCTGCCACTAAAACGAATACATGCTATTAGAGAAACTCAATCCTCCAGCATTAAAACAGTGACGCAGCAGATCGTTTCAGGTTACTTATGTAACCATGGTTCCCTGAGTAGGGAACGAGACACTGCGTCCTCTAGGGGTCGCTATGGGGAACGCCTCGTCGTGACCCGTGTCTGAAGCATACATTGAAAAAACACCAACTTGTCGGCCGGCGACAGTCATGACGTCACTACCGGTGCGACTATAGTGTAAATAGGCACTGGGAGAACACATCATCCTCTTCTTC